TTCGACGCGCTCTCTTCTCTTTTGTTCCCAGGATTCGACCATCGAAAAGTGAAAATATTTACCGAGTTCCCAAACTTTTGGCGGCCTTGTTACAATACCTCGGAGGGAAGGGATACGTTTCATTATCCAAGTTTATCTTTTATGGATGGATACTCCAGATCCATCGATATTTGCGATATATGGTTATGGTTAGTCGTCAGAACGTAAAATTGGCATTTAGACGCAATTCGTGGATAAACTTTACGAGTTGAGCTTATCTTTTGATTACTAGTAACTGCGTAGCAGTGAATATTTGCAAATGTAAATATTTTGCGATATTTGTACTGCGATGAGTGTAGCGGTTATTAGAATACAAATCGCGTAATCGTGATATACGTACGACTAAAAATTACGTTAAGGATTGAATTAAAAAAAAATAAAAGAACTTGTTATTAATAATCTCATCCGTATTGCAAAGTGATACAAGAATGTCACGTAAAATTTTCAAAATTCCTTCGAGAAAGAAATCGATAAGAATTTTTATCTGGATATTAATGTCCTCTATATATATAATATCCTCTAAACACGTAATAGTTAAAACGGAAAGGAGATAAAGTCATAAGTTGAAAATACGTTTCATCGTCGGGTCGGCACGGTTGAAATGGTCATAAAGTCATATACTCATCGACTGTTACACGCATCGCCTATTCCGGAAAACAGCAAGATAAATGACGAACGTCTTTCGAGGAGTATAATCTTCGGACACGTGGCTGGTAACATTATCTATAGCGGGTTGGAGAAACGTTTCGAACGTTTCCCCAACGTTGTCTTTTTGGCGAGATGACTGATGATCGTGCGGCCTGCGGCGCTTTGCTCCTGTCGTGTCGCAATAATCAATTAGCCCGATGTGTTGACACGCCTAATTCCTTGTCCAACTGATAGATAACCCGTGCCTCATAATAACCCTTTCGTTCACGGACTAATAACCACGATGACGGAACCAGAACCTGGCTCTGCTTCGGCGTCCACCGCGTGTCAAATGGTTGGAAAAATTGGGGAGGAGGGGGGAATAGAGGGCGATCAGTCAGGAGTTATATACTACGTCAGGATAATAATTTACTAAGTTACGACGGTTGTTTTACTAGTTGTTCCCTGTCCCGTCGATTCGTCGATGATAATCTTAATAGCTTATACTTTGTAGTTGGAAAATTTAATCAGATCAACGCAATTCTATTCTTTTGCCAATAATTAATCCGATATTTTTTCTTTTTATATAAATATAAATTATTCGTAAGATTAATCAAAGAAATGTTGCAGTTTATACTATGTGAAATTTATCTTATGTAAAGGGTTAAATGTTACATAATATTGCATCTCTTGGTTGAATAAAAGTAACTCTATGTTATTCTATATATATATGTATAGATAAATAGATAGATAGATAGATAAAGAGAAAAAGAGAGAGAGAGAGAGAGAGAGAGAGAGAGAGAGAGAGAGA